AGTTAGGGTTTCTATTCAAATAAGGTTTACTTGAATAAACAAATAATTTGAGTAATAATAATTTGAATAAAGCAAAATAAAACAAATAAAACAAATAAAACAAAATAAAACAAATAAAACAAATAAAACAAATAAAATGAATAAAACGAAATAAAACAAATAAAACAAATAAAATGGATAAAACGAAATAAAACAAATAAAACAAATAAAATGGATAAAACAAATAAAACGAAATAAAACAAATAAAACAAATAAAACAGATAAAACAAATAAAACAAAATAAAACAAAATAAAACAAATAAAATGAATAAAACAAATAAAACAAAATAAAACAAATAAAACAAATAAAACAAAATAAAAGCAAATAAAATGAAATAAAAGCAAATAAAAGCAAATAAAAGCAAATAAAGCAAATAAAAGCAAATAAAACAAAACTTGTATTATGAATAGAAACTGTGCATTAATACTAAAATCAAAAAAAAACAAACAAATAGCTTTATTATGAAATAATTAATTTTGTACCTTTAGTGTTAATAATTGAATTGATCACACAAGCAGTAGTCAATTTAAACAGCATTTTTTTAAAGAATTTTTTCAAAATATTTACTTAAATGTATAAAGTTTAATTATTTTTAATGTTGCAAAAATTTTTTGATACATCAATCTCAGTCCATATTTATATACTTTAAAGTTTCTTTATTTCTTTTTTTGATAAATAATAAATTTAGGGAATTGTTATTCACACCCCTCCCGTGACTAAGTGTAGTAATGTGACCAATGAATGCCTTTAAAATGTGATGATTTTATTGGTTCATCTTTGACTTAGTCACAGGAGGGGTGCGAATAACAATAATGTAAATTTATCCATTTGTTTATTTGTTTTAGTAGATTCAAATAGATTTTATTAGAACAAATGGTACACTACAGCAAATTTCAGTGAATCAATAATGCAAAATCACACATAATAAGTGTATAAGGATTGTAGCCTAGGTCCTGTAGAATATGCATGCAAAAATTTCATGTTTTCTGATTTTTGCTATGTCATTATTATTATTAAAAAATTTAAATTTGATTATTTCAAAGAAAAATTAAAATATTTATAGGGCCTAGTACTAGGCTACAAACCACAGTCAACCTGTTATTCTGTTTAAAATTAGTATTAGTATTTAGGTTTAACAAATTTGGTTTAACGGGGTGGATTTACTGTTTCTTTGATTTATGTTAACTAAAATAAAAAAAATCTATTTTACTGTTTTTAGAAATAAACAATAATTCTATCTTGTTTTATCTGTTATAGTATGATCAAATAAATTTTATTTCCAATTAGACATTTTTAAAAAATATAAGATCATCATTAATTATATTCTAATTTTTTCTCTTTTTAAATATATGTACGTACCAACAATTAATTCAATTAAAACTATTTATTAGATTTGGTGGTGGTTGCTACACAGTGAGGGAGGATATCAAGCAAGAATGTAAGGCATTCGATTATAAAAATTTTTTACTATGTAAATTCGAATTTTACTATCATCTACTATTACTTTAGATCTGCAGCGACCAGTGATTTTTTTTAATTGCTTTTTTAGGAATAATAAATAAAGTTTATTTATAATTGTAAATATGTATAGTTGTAACAATTTACTTTGTAATCATATACAACGTCTTGTGTAGTACATCTGGAAACATGACACAAAATTAATCATTATTTGTGACATCAATTATTTTGTGTCTTTATTTATTATTTATTATTTACTATTTATCTATGTCCACAAATCTTCTGGATAGATTGATAAGAATTATTATGATTATTTTATTTATATTTTATCAATCTTT